CATTAATTTGGGTGAAGATGATAGAGTGACACACGATGATAAATATACCTACCCTTAATTCTAACCCCTGTGGTATACGATAAGAGTCTATACTCCCATGCACAGGTTAAATTTCCTTAAATTAATTCTGTTCAAAGACTTTTGTAACACACTAACACTATAACAATGACAAAATTCTTTGATAATTCTATTTACTTTCCGTTGGCTAATTTTTTAAAAATAACTACGGCGTGTTAATATTTTCAGTAATGAGTTATTTAAATTTGAACGGACTTGACAAATTTGATTTATTTACTCTTGTTTTGTAAAATCTTTAAAATTTAAAATGAAAATTTTTGTCAAAAAGTTGACTGGAAAAACCATTGAATTAGAGATAGAGTCAAGTGATACCATAGATTAAGTTAAAACTAAAATTCAAGACAAAAAAGGTATTCCACAGACTAGCAACGTCTCATCTTTGCTAGAAAACAATTGGAAGATGGTCACACCTTATCTGATTATGACATCCAAAAAGAATCTACACTTCATCTTGTGCTCAGATTATGTGGCAGCATGTTTCAAAAAACCAGTAGTCACCAAAATTTCAATGAATTACCATCATTCACACAATCCGAACAAACTTCTGGAGATAATCAATCCATACAAACTTCTGAAGATAATCAATCAGAACAAACTTTTGAAGATAATCTGCCTGAACAAACTTCTAAAGAAAATCAATCAGAACAAACTCTTGAAGATAGTAGTTCAAGCTGGTACCAATAGTGGTAAAAGTGAAAGGAAAGATGCAAGGTCAACCATTCCATCATAGAAAAATTTCTCTATTAACTATGTTAACTGCATTAACTGTGTTAATTTTTTCCTTGCTGATGAATTCTTTATATACGGTATCTCTTATTTTCTCACTTTTACAGATGTTGTATCAAAGTTTCTGACTTTCTTCATAATATTCTACATTATTTCATAAATTCTTGAATCTCACGGAAGCTAAAGATATTTTAACAGATATCTCGACCAACACTGTGGTTACCTCTCCAAAACTTCCAACTACAAAAAAGAAATTATTGGCTCTGTTACATGAGAAGAAATAATGAAGATTATCACCTGAAATATAAGAACAATATTATAAGGTTGGAACTGATTCTACATATGGCAAAGATTGGATGGATGTCACTGACTGGATGCAGCATAATTTGGTTAATGAATTTGATTATTCAGATGAGACTGTACAAATATTGTGATGTGCTCCACAGTTTTATCCAGGTAACAAGTGAATTCATTTTTTATTACATTTTCATTTATATCTTAATATATTGTATATATATATATATTAAGTTTAATGTCTTTTTTGGATGATCCTGAATTTCGAACAACGCAATTATATGTTTGTAATACATTGCTCATCTTGAGGATCTCACAGAAGGAATGCCGGCATCCGATTGTCCAATAATTCTCTCCTAGAATCATCTCAAGATAATTACTCAATTTCCTTGAGATCACTTTGTCAATCAAGACGTCCTCTCGTTCTTTTTGATGGTTCATATACCTGTCCAATATTCCAATACATATCTCATGTGCTCAATGATATATTTAAGCGATATCGAACTAACTTAGATTTTTATATGATTCAAATCTGAGAAGTACATGCTAATTATATTTGGCTCATTGGCAATGTCATGTCTGTTAAAGAGAATCTCACAATAGAAGATCGCTTAACAGCAACCCAATTGGAAATTTATGTGTTGGTAGATATGATCTTAAACTTATATGCTCCATGGCCATTCCGCTTTTTTGTTGTTGTAGATGGTATTTTGAAACTTGTTGAGATGTCCAAAGAAGCACAATATTATACAACAGATCTGGTTAAATGTTTAGATAGTCTTTTGAATGAAAATAAATAGAATAAATATGTCTTTAATTTCGTTTTTGCAATCACTTATATTAATTTTATCTGTTGAAAATAAAATAAGATTATAATAATATATCTTCAGTGACAAGATCTGTTTCTGCAAGCCAGAAACATTGGTGACTAAATTAAAATGTGCCAGAAATGCTGTACAAAATAAGAGAAATTTATTATTTATATACATACTTTTAACTTTGGACTTTCACGACGAAACAAAATATTAACATTGAAATTACTGTAGATTAACAATACATGGAAGTTCAATTTATATTTCATTTTAATTTATTATTATTTTTTATTGTATGAATAATACAATAAATTTATCTCGCATAATAATAATTCGCTAATTGTTTTAAATTTAATTTTTTTTCTTGTTTCAAAATATTTTTTCGGGATAACTTTTCTCTTTTAAATCATAAAATGCACTGATTTATAATCTCAAATAATTTATATAAAATGAAAAAAATAGCCATAAATTCTAATATTTTTGAGTGTAATTTATTTGCTTGCACAAAAGTACATAAAAAAATAGTTGGATTGTGATAAGCCACATTTATTGATGTCTCTTCTTTCAATTAATAAATATAAGTGAATCTATGCTCAAATTTCTTTTGATAAATGACTATATAATTTTAAATTCAATAAAATTAAAAAAATACCGTTACAACTTCTTAAACCCATGACCACCAACATTGAAATCTAAATCAATATATTGAACAAATCTAATATTATCAGGTTTCAGTTCACAGAACTAATAATTATTATAGGAAGAAGCACGATTGGAAAATATTGTTGGAATTAAATATGGATATTTTCACGCACAAGACATGAAAATTTTTCAGATAATCCTTATTTTGTTTTAAATATTTATGATGGTATTTCCTATATAACACAAAAAATTTGCATTCTTTCAGGAAGCCATACTGTAAATTTTATTATCCGTGCCTTTGATTCTATTAACAAAATTACTTCAGACAAACCACTTGATTTGTTTATTTATATTGGTTTAGCGGAATAAAGACTTTATTCGTAAATAAGTAATAGGATCTTCTCATTCATTACAGTCACGTACGTAAGCACATTGTATAAGTATATATTAATTTAAATAATTATTTTAAAAAATAATCCTTCGTATTTTTGTTTACAAATTAGGTAGATCGAAAAAAAAAATAAAAATTATTTTTAAAAAAAAAAATCTTGCGACGTTTTATTATTATTATTTTTCAGAATGTTGGAATATACATGTGAAGAAGATTGTAAATCGAGGAGTAATTTTTGTTAAAAAATATTAAGAATATACCAATAATAATTAAAGGTCATGGATTTTTTTTAGTTATCTTCGTACTCCGTTTAAAAATTAAGTGGATCGAAAAAAAAAATTTTATGACATTTTCTCATTTTTTTTTCAGAACATGAAAAAGATTTAAATCGAGGCGTAATTATTATTTTTTTGCTATAAAAATTTTTTATTTATTTTTTATAAGTAGTAAGAAAAATATTCAAAAATTATATAAATTCCATCTATTCTCTGGGTGGCGGTGCGGGTTATTCTTCTAAATGGTACGTACTCGATACGTATTCGATTACGTTAAATTCTTGATCTTTCTTTCCAAGTGTTTTGAAAATCTTTTTCTTACATTTTTACTTTAGATATGTTACTGTGTCTCAGTATTCACCAATTGGATGGAAGAATCATGTAAAATTACATATAATATCCATATTGCAGTAAACACAACATTTTGATAAAGTAAATACAACCTGTCCATTTGTAAATTCGAATAAAAAAATATTTAAAAACGAATATTTCTTTATTTTTCCAATGTCTCAAGAAGAAGAAACATTGTATTGTCCAGTTGGTCATTCCAATGAGATCTATAATTTCCAAAGAATTTACATTGGAATAAATATTGGATATTGTAATTTGTGTAATAAAGAACATTTTAGTCGAGAGTTTGGAGCTTGGTCTAATGGAAACGTCGAAATTGATAAGGTTATCCAAGAATCTCAAATAATTTATCAAGAATTTTATGACTGTAAGTTACAATGGATACATTATGATATCAAACACACATTGCAGATTGTAGGAAAGGGATTCACACAAAAGGGAGGTATTTATAGTTTTTATGGAATTATGTATGAAGTTGCAACCGGAAAACGATCATTTTATGATTGAGCATACGATACCAATTTAATAATTAATATATGTAATGGAGTAAGACCAAAAATTCCCGATATTATGTTGGAATGGTGAATTATGGAATTTAGCTATTAAATTCCGTGATAATAAAATGGAAGATAATTTTCTACAACAATTTAAGATTGCAGATGAAAATCAAGAAAAAGCAATCAAATCAAAAAAAACATGAACCACCTCTACGTCAAATATATCTCATCCACAGTCTTGTTTTATTAGTCGAAGTATTCATACTCTTCATAGATTGTATAATTCATTAGAAGATATAAAATCAGGAACATCTCAAGGTAAAGTTTTTATCATGATTTAATTATATTGTATTAATCATTTTAATAAATAAATAATTACCAAATTTTACATTTATAGACCCTAATTTATTAAAGTCTAATGAAACATCTATTTCGAGTGTTAAAACTTATTATATTGATTCTAAAGAACTACAAGAATGCATTGATTGGGAAAAAGAGATTCAAAGTCATGCAAAAAAAAAGATCTAAAGAATTCATTAATTTGGATGATGAAGAAGATAATATTATATTAAAGAAAATTAAAGGTTAGATTTATTATATTCATTATTATATATACTATTTGGCTCGAAGTCAAAAAAAAAAAATTAAAAAATCCTGATTGAATTATTTATTTTGTTTTTGTTTATTATTATTTTATTTTCATTATAGGAGTCAATTTTCTAAAATATATTTTTTCCAGTTTCGTTTGTTATTAAGATAAATTTTTATTTACATGTATAAATAATTTTGGTAGTATTTTCTTAGAAGTAAAAGTATTCTAAAAATTTATTGAAATCATTACAAAGATTTGAATTCTTTCAGGAAGCCAAGATACTGCAAATTTTTTTATCTTTGCTTTTTGAAATTACACTTTTCTAAATTGTTACTTAAAAATGCTAATAGAATTTCATAAGATAAACCACTTGATTTGTTTATTTATATAAATAAAATTTAATGAGCCAGTAACAATACTTTTAAAATTGTATTAACATATTTAATCTAAAATATCATTGCAATAAACACAAAATTTTGATAAAGTAAACAATGATAATGATAATGAGAATTAGAAAAGGTCTTGACAACCGTCAAACTGCTTTCCAATACTACTCATTTTCTGCCCGTTTGTAAATTTGAATAAAAATATATTCAATGTCTCAAGAAGCTGTATATTGTCCAGCTAGTCATTCTTCCACTAGAATAATTTATGATAAGCGCAAAAATTACATTAGAATCGAAAGTGGATATTGTAAGTTGTGTAATAAAGAACATTTTAGTCAAGAGTTTGGCACTTGGTCTAGTGGAAATGTTCTAATTGATATAAATATCAAACAAAGTATCGAGGATATTATGAATAAGATGACTTTCGAGATATCAAACACACATAGCTCAAAAAATGAAAAAATGTCACCAAATCTTGAAAACGTGTTTCTTCTGTTTCTTTAATATAGATTTTAAATTATTATTAATTATCTAAAATATTTTACAATATATATTTTATGCAATTAAATTCATTATATTTTTGATTCAGAATATAAAATTGTTGTCACAAAATCTTTCAAACTATATTATTTGTTTTAGTAAACATTCCCTGATATAGTGCTTCCTTAATAATATATCTCATAATCAGGAAGAAAACTTTATTAAAATATTTTTTTTTGTTGTATCAATCGATTTTCGTGAAATAGTGATTTTCGCGAGATGACACAAATTATTTAATTTTTCTATTAACCTATAAACAAGCATTGAACTTTAAATGATAACATAGTTATCAATAAATATTATTCCTGTTGATTCATCATTTAACAGGGCCCACGGTTTAGTGATGTAGCTATTGTAATGGAAGCAGAAAATTCTACTACTCATATTAAAGATCGTTTGCAAAAGTTAGCGATAAATAATAATTGCAATTCTTTAATGCTTTTGGGGAAATTCAACGATATAAATTATTGTGAATCAGAAACGAGGAAATCGCGAATAACTATGGATTTATAGTTGTCCTCATCTATTGGGATTGAAAAGTTATGACATTAGAGTCTATTTCATATTATTCTTAGATATCATATATAATTGTACGTTATAATAAACAAAAAATAAAGGGATTAATAATATTTTTTTTTGAAATAATAATATTATAATATTATTATAGTGGAGATACTAAAGAACATTATTTAGCGCAAAATCTCCATATTCAAATGCGGATTATTGAAATTTTGTTTATGTACACAAATAATATAATTTTTATAGTATAATAAATTTCCCTTGAAAGTTATAATAACATATAATAAATTTCACTTGAAAGTTATAATAATGTAGAATATAAAATTTAATAGTAATAAGTAATTATATTATTATTATTAAAGATCCACTTAATGCTTTAGAATATTAAAAGAATTTAATAACGACATAATTAAGATGACAATATTGAAATGATAATGATGTGATGATATGATGCTTAAAAAAATTCAAGAATTTAAGAATTTTCTAATAATAATATCAAAAATTATGAATAAATTTTAAAAATTTTTTAATCTTACCAATTATTACTTTAATTCAAGATTTTTTCCTCAGTAGTAGCAGCTCTGATAAAGAAAAGAAGTAGATAAAGCTGGTACAATTATTCATTATACATATCATGTTACAGCATCCTCAACGCTTACTTAATTGGTTAGTTAATACAAGAAAGTTTGAACAATAATAGTTTCAACAATTTTATAGTTGACATCATAAATTTAGGAACTTAAAATTAATAAGGTCTCTTTGTGCAATTCTTCCTAAATGATAAAATGCCTGATCATTGATGTAATGAAAAGGCTTTATTATAATAACACTACCATTCCATAAATTAAATATATCATACTACAAAAATAAGAGAAATAAAAAATTCAAGGAAAAATACAATAATAATAATAATGTAAAATCTTCATAGGATACTACAATCCTTGACAGCATTCTGTAAGATTGTTTCCTGAATTGCGGCAAAAACAAACCTAAATTAATCAAATTTGAATTTTAAATTAATAAAAAAATTTACTCAAAATTATCAAAAAATTATACAAAAAGAAATCCAATGAAAAACTAACCGTAACTTTACAGAAATTAATAAGAAAATAATTATGTTATATATTAAAAAATGCAGTTTATGATATATATATATATTTATTATAAAGATTTAAAGTATAATGATAAAATGTATGACTTACAATTGATGTGTCGGCTTCTTCTGAGAAACTATATAAATGGATGATGATTTTTAATTCTCATTAATATGTAAAGATTTTCACATAACGTGATAAATTAATACTCACTGAGAAAATATTTTTAGTTCTTTCCGATTGGTTTGTTTGAATTTCCATAATATATAATAAGCAGCTTTGTTGATGTCTGATCCGCCTGTAAATTAATTAAATTAAACATAAAGAATAAATAACATTAAAAATAAATAATTATATTAAACATTAGGAATAAATACATCAAAATATATGTAAATATTAAATTATTTACCAGAATAATCGGGGAAATATTGTTCAAGAGGTACTCGAGATAACTTTGCTCGGAATAAATCAATTTTATTGAGGATTAAAATAATCGATGTTCGTAAAAACCATAGACTATTGATCACTGATTCAAATAATATAAGACTTTCTACAATCCTATTCTATAAGCATATATAAATAATATAAAAAATTTATATCTGTTATTATTCTTTATAAATCATTGCAAAGAGTTGCAAAGAGTAATAAAGAGTTGTAAAATTTGCATTGTAAAATGTTATAATCAATTTACTTTTTTTTAAAAAAAAACTTCTATTAAAATACCTGGCCTGATTCTTCCAGTAAAACTTGGTCATATTCATTGAGTGCAACACAAAAGATAATAGATGTAACGTTTTCAAAACAATGGATCCACTTTCTTCGAAATGAATTATCACGTATATCAAACATACTGACAGACAGATATATGTATATGTGTTGATATATAATTTAATAAATTTTTGTGATTAAATTTTGAATTCTGTTGATGTTATAACATACTGTATGGTTAGATTTCCTAAGTTAAATCTTGTTTCTGATACACCTGTGGTTATGGTTTTTGCTCGAAGAGCATCTCCTTCACGAGGAATGTATCCCGGTGCCCCAATTCGGTTTACCGCTGCAAAAAAACTGGCGATGCATGTAGCAATTGATATCTAATTTCTAATTAATCATAAAACGATGATAAAATATTTAAACTCACTAAGGTGCTGAATCCATTAAATAGAAATGACTTTGTTTCTCCATAACCTCCGGTATTATTGGATCATGCCACAAAGAATCAATAGCTTCTACAATTTCTGGGCTTAATTGGAAAGATGAGTCGGATTCGACATGATAATCCAAAATTTTTTCGGCGAAATACTTTAAAAAAAAATTTTTTTTCATTATAATTTATTGTCACGTTCTCTCTAATCAATTTATTAAAATACATACTTTATTCTCTAACCTTCGAGGCTCCAGTTGTAATTTTCTCATAGCATAAACAATGACTTGTGCGGAGTCAACAAGGTTTTTATATACTGTAATTCGATATTGTTCCAATTCATCCTTAGTATAGCCATTTATTATTTTCATCTGTTTCTTTATTGCCGATTTGTCAGATTCTTTTGACCCTGCAAAATGATAATATGCAATTAAATGTTGCGGCTTATTCCTAAAAATCTATGAAAAAATACGATTTACAAAAGTAAATCCAAGAAATTTTATAAAAAATACTACCTAGCAGGAGAACTTTAATTTCTTTCCTGGATCTTTTGAAGTCTTTTTTTATCTGTTTGTCAATTTGGCGACTCCGTAGCCGCGATTCTTTTTCTTCAGTAGACAAACATAAGCCCATGATGCAACTATTTGTTAATAATTGAGTATATTATAAAATTTTTAAATTTCGAAGGTGATTATTATTATTTTATTTAATGTTTTTTTGAACTTGCAAATGAACAAGAATTTTTTGCAAGCGTTATATATGTGCTTTATATTTATATAAAAAATTCAAATACATAAATCAAAACAATTTATTTCACGGTAGAATACTATTTATGTATAATTTCTAGAATTTTAAAGGTTAATATAATTCAGTAATGTCGCAAAATCTAAAAGCGGTAGAAATAACTAAAAGAATCGATTGATTGTTAAATATTGACTATTCCATTCATTTTAAAAGGTTTCGTGATTCTAAAAAGTAAATAATGATCGGCAAAATATTTTATATTTCTGTATTTGTATTAGTTCTTGCACTTACAAGTATTTATGGAGTATTTATATCTGTTATAAATATACACGAAAAATAATTCATGTACAATCGATAGATATATAAGTGTTTTTGCATAAAAATATTTATAAACAGTATTAGTAAAATTGGATTCATCCAGGAAAATTGCAACTGATGAAACTTGGTGAAACTTTGGCGAAACTTGGTGTAACTTTGGTGAAACTTGGTGAACAACCAACTCTAATTAGCAAATAACGATAATGTAAATTTTGGTTTCTATTTATTAGATTTAAATAGCATTTTTTGTTGTATAATAAACAAGCAATAAAAATTTTATATTCCCAGAATGCAACAATGTAACTCGAAACATTTCCAAAATGATTTTGATAAATGAACAAATGGAAATAATACAATAGACAAGATATCCAAATAAATCCAGATTATGATTTTAAAGTAATAGAATGAATACCTTATGATGGATTTAAATATATTAAAGAAATAACAAAGGGTGGATTTGGAACAATATATTAAATCAACAGTGGCGCAGTGAGAACGTAACATTAAAAAAGTTTGATAATAATTTTGCAAGTTTAAAATGAGGATTCTTAAATATTTATTGATATCCGATATATAGAATTTTTGTTTTAAATCATATATTATATTGTCATTATAATTTGCAAAATATATATATTGTTTAGATGGCAATTCAACTTAAAAACGAGGAATACAAAGAATAAATTTGCATCAATTCGAATTTTGGAATCCAGAAATACACAAATATATTATGGATTTAGATTATATGAAAGAAGGAAAATCTTGAAAAAATAATTTTAATAATATTAATTCACGATTTTTATCCTGGAAATATTTTAAATTAGATAGCTGCGGAACTGTGGTCACGCTGAAACCTGGAACATAGTGCTTTGCGTTGACCGAGGTTCATTTAATTGATTGATGCAATTAATTCTCCGAGAATTTGTGCACTTATATTAGTTAAAGTTCCAAAGTTAACTTCTAAAACCTTTAGAAACTGAAAATAACAATAGTATAACTTTCTGAAATAGGCAAAGAGAAGAGGCTTTGCTCAAATTTTATTATGTACTAAGATAAAATAGATAAATAGCTTCTTTTTTTTTTTTAATTTGTTTGTTTCTTAAAATATTTTGGGTTTCTTGATCGTAAGCACGGGATTGGGTTTATAAGTAATAAATGGTTTAGCTGTGACTATTTTCTTGAATTAGTTTTTCATATTTGGGTGATTGTTTGATTAATGTATATTTATTAATATTAATGAAATTTTTTATTTGCGTGGATGTATTTTTTATGTTAATTTTTTTCAATTAGATAAATTTACTAATTTTCGAAAGTGATTTATATGGGTAATTTTAAGTATTTATCATGAGTTTTTGACTAAAGCATTTGACCATTCTTTTAACAAAGCTGTTTTTTGAGTGCATTCATTAAGGTAAAGCTGGTCAAAATTTTACACATACTACACATATCTGGTGCCAGATTGCCAGAAAGAAGTAGTATCGTTCCTAATATCAGTCACATATTAGATACCTAACATGGGTAAATAAATATTTTTTACCTATATCCAGTATCCAATAGGTGTAAAAAAATGTTTTTAACCCATAAAGTCACATATCGAGTATCTGATATGTGACCAATATTTGGGATGATTCTATTCCTATCTGGTATCAGATATGTGTAGTATTTGTGAAATTTCAACTAATGTAAGCTCTGTACAGAGAGAAGGTAGTTGTATATCTAAGATGATTTCTTTAAAAGGTCATAAAATCAATAAATTCTCTAATCTTTGTACATGGGAAAGCATGACGTATTGCCATTATTTGTATTACTCTCTACTAAATAAATTATAATCTGTAAATATGAAAGCTGGTATTATTGAAAGTTGAAGATGTTAAAATTTTCTTTGAATTTTTAGGGCAATCGTGTCATCAATATTGTAAACACAGATATGTTTGATTGGGTAAATAGATACATGATTTGAAAGAAGGCCTTTGTATGGTTGACATATTACATTAATTAATTTTATTATGACATATTTTGATGGGCTTTTAGTATTATCCCTTAAACTGTTTTGCAGGCAAATTTGCTTGCAATTTATAAAAATTAATGTAAATTTTTGAATAACTATTTTTAATTTTGCCCAATTATTTTGTCACATTTGTATAGATAATGATTAATAACGGTTTATTATATTTTCATAGTATAAATTTCTAGCCCATCATTATTCCTTTTTTGGTGAAGTCACAGCACAAAATATACTTATCCAATTGGTGAATACTGGTAAGATCTTAAGCTTCAATCACTTGACAACACCAACATTACTCTTTTTGAAAAGATTTTTGTAACCTGAAATGGAAAAAAAGGTCAAAAATTTAATATAATAGTAATCAATTTTCAAGTATTTGATTGGGAATGTACTCAATATTGATACCATTTAGAAGAAGAATCCTCACTATTCACCCAAAGAATAGAAGACATTTATATAATTTTTGAACATTTTTACTACTTATAAAAATAAATAAAAATAGAAAAAAATTAATTTTTTTATAATGATCACTAAACTTTGATTATTTTTAGTGATTATTTATTTATTATCACATAAATAATAACATTAGTAAATTTTTTAGGCGTAATATTACGTAATATTACATAATATTAAACCTTTTACAAAAAAATCTATTTTTGATTTCGCTCGCGATCACGGAAAATTTCTGAAAAATTTTTTGTAAAGTATTTCATGGAAATCCAACTTTATCTCAATGAATATCAATGTATAGGAATGAAACACATATCAGTATGTAGCCAGGAACCAGGACTTTTGATCAATCTTAGAAACACCTTAGTAAAAAATTGCTCACTGCCACAGTAATCGTGAGTGAATTCAAAAAAAAAGATTTTTTTAGGTGTAAATTTCTGAAATAATTATATAATCTTTCAAAAATTTATACCTAAAAAAATTCTTGATGAAGGGTAGTTGCATAGCACGTGATACTGCATAGGACTAGTACGATTTGTGCTTGTGTACAATTTGATCAGAAAAGAATGTAAGGATGTAAGTTATTATTTTTTTATTAAAAAAAATTAAAACCAATTTCCACACCTTTTTTCTTCACTACTTTATTTCCTTTATTTCTATAAAGTAATTGTGGGCACATAGGTTCTTCTTTCACAAAATCAGTGAAATTTGCAAAATGGGCAAATTGGATGTAAGGACTTAAGTATTATTGTTTTTATTTTTTATTAAAAAAAAATTGAAAACAAATTTACTTGCCTTTTTTCTTTACTTTCCTTCTCTTTACTTCTGTGAAGTTGTACTCATGGGCAGTGTTGTCAAGGGACACCTTCAGGACAATGTTGGGACAAAACATATTTTTTTAAAATGTAAATGCACAAAATTTTACTTTAAATCTGTTTTGGGCTATTAATTAAAGTTGCTTGAAATTGATTTTTATATATATTTATAAAGTTTTAATATCCATTTATAGGTTGGTTAAAGGTAGGGACAGTGAGACATGGGACACAGAGACAGTTAAAAAAGCTGGAGACATGCAAATTTGACAACACTGCTCATTGGTCCTCTGGTTTGAACTCAAAGATCTGGTCTTTAGGACTTGGATCAATTGGTCCATTCTTGAAAATTCGGTTAGGATCAGGTCTTTTATATTGTGTGATAATTTAATTAGGTTATACAAGTCAGCAATCATTGAAAGAGACTAGTTAGAATCAGATTTTTTATATCTTGTGACAATCTGATTAATTCATCCAAGTTAGTATATTGTTGAGAGAAAAAGAAAAAGAGAGAAAGAGAGTAGAATCAGTGAGTTTGAATGGAAATATTAAAGGATATTGCTAAAGCTCAAAAGAGGTAATTGTCATTACCAGGCAAAATTATATAATTTCCTGATTAACCCTAATTCTAATTTTGCCCAGTGGTGACAATTACCACAGGTGACTTTAGTAATTTTCTATATAAAGACCAGGTCCTGAACTGGTCCTAGAACCAGTTTTACAGGATCAGGTCTGGTCAATTTTTGCACTAGGACCAGGGCTAGACCAGTCCAAAACTTTTATATCTCTAATAGGAATCATCATTCAGTACAGTAATTCTTTTATATTTGACTAGTGACATGACCTGAAAAATTATAATAATACTTATAAATATCTAATGATGAAATATTAACTTCTTGTAAAGAAGTCCAATTTTAATGAAAATGTTTGTCTCAATGAGGAAAATCTAATAAACCATATATCACAAAAATTAGATCACAGGTTAGTGAAATTTCTCAATACAACATGAAAAATTATAATAAAATTTTATCTACTAATAAAACAAATAGTTTAGTTAATAACTAGGCATATAGATATCCAATTGGAATAAAAAAAAAAAGTATCATTCTGAAGCCAGAAACATGTAGATTCTAAAAATAGAAACATTATTTACAAAAGTTCACAGAATTATGAATTTATATTTTATATTATAATTCCATTTAAAAAATCTAAAATATTAAGGACTTGTGAAAATAATTAGAACACTATCTTTTATTTATTGTTATGCAAATTATATTATTGTTCTGATTTCAGATTATTATTTTGTTTAAGATTACTATAATTTCAAGTTACTCTTTGATTTTAAGTTCAACTTTGATTTCAGGTTGCACCTTGTGACTTTGATTTTGGTCAAAATATTTCTTTCAATCTCCAGCCTGGTCACCATTCTTTCCTTTATTCTTAAACATCAATGAGAAGATATCAAATTTTATAATATTCTCCAAGTATATGAACTGGTCCCCTATCAAGAAGAACAAAAAAATATTATTCAATCAAAAATCAATACAAGTAATAACCCTGGAAAATTCTATAACACTACACATCAAGTCACCTTCAAACTTCTGTATAGCTACCTTCCATTTGATCGTACACTTCTCACCTCGATATCTGAAGATATCCTAGACTTTGGAATGCTAAATGAAAACAATTTGATCCCCCATTTTAAAACTCAACAAACTTACCATATATTATACACTTACAAGAAGGTATGCATACCATGTTTTTAAACAAAGAACTTTTCAATGATGATATTGCAATGACTCAATTGAATTCATAGCAAGAATTATTGATGGTTAAAATATAGAAATAGCTTTTCTTACCTTTATGAACTTAATCAAAATCATCGTTCAGAAAGAAACTGTCTATTTTAATATAGATGGAAAATGTGCATCAAGAAAACAATTTCCACTTCAGAATTCCTTTGTTCTTGCCACTCATAAAGTGCAAGGTTTAACATTACCTTATGTAACTATTGATGAATCCGTATTTGCTGAAGGTCAAGCCTACATCATGATAAGCTGTGCAACTTCGTGTCAGAACCTCCATATCATAAACTTTGACTATAGCTAGTTGATATCAACAAAAGATTAAATGCAATACATGCTAGAGAATTCTAAAATTTACAATAAATCTTTAAACTTGTAAATATTGTAGTCAAATTGGATTACATGTTCTTTTAACTATTTAAAAAAATTAAAACCTTTATTATTTCCTACTATTCGTGACTGTAGTTGTTAATTTTAGATAATCAATTGTATAGTTAGCAGATTATAATTTTTCAGATCAAATATACGTAATAGCACCTAAAATCTGATGTACAAATTTCTATCCCGAAAATTAGCTGATATGGGCCATATGTAACATTAATATCAATATAGAAACAAATTTCAAAAAAAGTATGATATATATACAAAATGCTGTAAATGTCTGTAAATTTAAAATGAGCTCATTATAATTCTGTAAACGCAATAATTTTTCTGTTCAAGCAATGGTATATATGAAATTTTCATAGCTATCAATATTTCCGAAGTGAGAGTTAATAATAAATTGAAAAATTGATATATGTTTTATTCTTCAAAGCATTACTTCTCATATGTATACACCCCTCAGGAAAAAAAAATGAAAAATATGATTATAACCAAAAGTGTCTATACAGAGGGATTTTTATATAGTATTATAATTAAAACATGTTGAGATATTAATATTTTAATAAATAATAAATTAATCCTATAAGTTTTCGTTACGATAAACTCTCCTACTAATAAGATGATGCAAGCCTACTCTCAAAACAATAAACATGCCTTTTAACTCTGCATCATTTCATATTATTAAAGGCATTAAATATTCTATTTTCATTTTAATCTTATTTTCTAAAACTTCACAAACTGTCTTTTGGGAACGGTGTTGATCATTAATTTCAAGGTTTAAAATTTCACTTTCTGGTTTTTCAACAAAGATAGTAAACATTAGTTTCATCCTGCCAACATTCTCGAGCTCCGACAAATTCAATGTTTCCATCTTAATATTATCAAATTCTATTGCTATCCTTTTTCGGGTACTTGTATTTACTAGATCAACTGCTTTTCCACTTGAAGAACTCTGAGAATATACCTTAAACTCGGGTTCAATGTCTACATGAAGAGAGATAATTAAAGTATCTAAAAATGCTTGCTTCAATGCCTCCTCATTTAAATGCTTAACACTGTTATCTTTTAGTGGTTTGAGTAAAACTTTCTCCACAAATCAGCAGAGTGGCTCAATGCTATCTTCTCCCTTCAAAATCTGCAAACATTTACGTACAGACATTAAATCTTCTTTTCTTCACTCATAAATTCTGAACGCTTCTGCAACAAATTCTCTCTCAGAAACATTATTTTGGATTCAAAATCTATGTTATGAATTTCGTTGTTAGGTGAGAGCATCCGTAAAGAACAAGAATAATAATAGTGATTGTTAACTATTGAATACTAGTGAGTCTAAATCATTGTATTATATAATTTTTGGATTCAAGAGGGTGTCTGCTAAGTGCTTTAGAGAGGATACATTTTTCAAGATGATTGTTGACAATCAAATAAAATCTGATGACATTTGTGATGGTAAAATATACAGGTCGGGGTTAAAATTAAAAAGTGTTTAAATGATAACTGATACCTTTTGATCATCATAATTTATAAATTCTTTTCTTTGATTGATCATCTCATCGATACAGTATAAGATACGAGCAAGATTAAAAATACCTTCAGTTTGAAGGGAATGAAATAAATAATCACTATATTTTTCTCTCAACTATTTCAATATTTCCTCTTTAATATTGGATGGAAGATCAAGAACATTTTCAAGAGAAATTCAATTTCTGACTTCTTGATACCATATAAGTTCCAGAATTTTTTTCTCAACGTCAAGTCTTTTGTAATTCTGACATAGTAACAGGTGTTACACCAGTCTGAAAAACATAAACTATACCCTTATTACAGGCACGTTTCAAATGACTGTAGAATTGTTTGAACGAGCTCTCAATTACTTCAATTTTAATTATAAAAGTGTAGCAAGATAGCAAGAGGTTGTAAGATGGATTTGTTCTTAAGAGCTTCATTCATTCCAGCCTCATATTCATCAATGCAAATATAGGGCTAAAAGTTGAAAAATATTAATTTACTTTTTAAATAGAGATGATAACTGAGTAAAGAAAACTTATTTACCTTGTGATTACTCAATTCTACTGCATTCAATAACTCCTTGAAATTTAACAAAGCACATTCTTTTTTATCAAGAACTTGAAAATTACCTTCCAATTCTTGTTGATATCTATAAAAAAAACCTCAACATATCTATATTCAAACTTTTGTGAAAGTCTTCCTCGAAGATTTCTAATGTTGAATTGGTGCGAAGTCCAGCAAAATTAAGTTTAAGAATGAGAAATGACGTTATGATGGTTTAGAATTGTTTTCAATATATAAACTGCCAAATAACTGCTTAAATCGTTCTTCTCTGTTTTTATATTATAATACAAGGACAAATGGAGAGAAATACTGTTTTCCCAAAACAACAGGGCGTAAAGAGAGAATAGTATAAGCATTGAGTCTCTCTATTTTAGGAATAAAGTGGGTTTTATCCAAATAATACCTCGTCCTTTAAAACAACAAAAGACCCTGTTGAAAATATTTTAAAAGGCTTTAAAATACAATGGACAAAAACATTAGAAAGAACAACAAATTGTAGTGTTAGTGTGTATACAAGAATAAAAATTTTTAAGCATACTTCTGTCAGTTCCAGTTTATTATTCTTGAGTCTCTTTGATGATTGTTGGATTACTCCACCCATTACAAAATTTTGAACAGATTCATTCATTTCAGGTGATTGTTCTTTCTGAATGGTGTGTTAAAATAAATTCAAATATAAGTAAACCAAGGCTTCGATTATTTATTAAGATAAGATTGTGTCTTCTGTGAGGTCATCGGATTACGCTTCAGAGATTTTAAAATTTTTTTCTTTTTTTCTGTATGTACAATCTCAAAAATTTCTATAGTTTTAATCTCCGTATTGTCGTAGGCTAGATCTTACAATTTACGATATAATGTTAGGACACATAATATATATTATATGCGGTGGGGATATACATACCGTCTTGATTTTCACCTCCCGTTTTCTGCGTAAACAATCCATTTTTCTTTCAATATCATCCCAAAAAGTATCTACAGATGATGGATTCTTAAAAAAAAGGTAAAAAATGACACCATCACTACAGAGAGAATGGAACCTCATGATGCTGAAAAAAAATTCAGCGGTCGGCACCATACAGTGGGACAAAACCACCATTAACTTAGCGGGAACGAAACCCACCTTGGTTAATATGACACGGAAAAAAAAAGGTGTCATACAGTGGGACGAAATCACCATCAACTCAATGGGACAAAACCCACCTTGACTAGTATAACACCTACAGAAAATGCACAGCTACAACTATACAAATTTCTTGACCACTGAAAATTAAGTACTTTCTCTTTCAAACACTTTGTCATATCTTTCTATCTTTCACTATATCCATCGTCATCTATAATCTTTTCCAAATGTGTTATGAATCTTTTTCTCCAGGTACCTTTGTCTTCAACCTTTATAGTATCTATACTTGCCATAATGAGAGGTTCAAATAATTTTAAAAAATGAATGTAAGACCATTCTTCAACGGGTATTTCTTCAAAAAGGTCTTTAATCGCTTTATACAAAAGTTGAAGATTTGACATTCTGAAGTTGAGAGATTGATTTGTCAATCAGATCAGTTGGTGTTTTAATCAGAGATCCAGAAAATTTTTGTTTCAGTGCGGACACCTTAAACCAGAAAATAAAATAATTTTATCATTGTTTTTATCCCTCACCAACAATTAGTATAAAAATAGTTGCCAGGTGGGTGAAAGAATTTGGATTTGAGTATTCTGAAGTTGAAAAAGGCATGTATGGATCGTCATGAATGTGCGGACGTTGTATCCTATCAAGAAATTTTTTGGAAAGAATGACGAATTATGAAAGACAAATGATAATTTATTCGGGAAGAAGAGACCCAACTTGATAATGATCAAATTTTAATCTTGGTAACACATTATGAATGTATTTTTTCAGCATATGATGGAAGACGTCAATTATGGATGCAAAAGGAAAAGAACCACTTCGTAAGGACATTTCGTGTGAGTGATTTTTCTTACTGATGTTAGAGTATTACGTGACGAAGACAAGGTATAAAATTTTATTTTTTTGTTTTTTATTTAATTTATTGATAAAAAAATTTAAATAATAAATTTTTAGATTGTTTTTTCTAATGTTCCAATGGAAGCATACATTATAACATATCCAGGAAAAAATACAGATGGATGGTGGAACTCTAATGATTTTACAGATCAAGTGATAACCCATACAATTTCAATATTTGAAGCTCATTTTCTGGGTGCAAAAACTCTTTTTGCATTTGATAATGTTGCATATGCAGATAATACTCTCTTGGCAAAAAATATTGACAGGAGGAAAACAAGCAAAAATGAGGTTAGTTTATTAAATTTATTAAATTTTTTATTATTTTCTTAATTATTTTTTTAAACAAATATTTAGAAGTACCATATATGGTGATGGAATCAATCAAGATATATACTTTGTTTTGGATTATGAAATTCCTGAATTGTGGATAAAGCAAAGGGATTAAAAATAATTTTAACAGAAAGAGGATTATGGTGTGATGGAATTGGAATGTAAAAATAAATGTAAGGAGGGAAGAGATAATTTTTGTGTCCAAATGATCATAGCTAATCAACTTAATTTAAAACACAACGAGGAAAACTTGTCAAATCTACAGGTCATGAAATTATTTTTTATCCAAAGTTTTATTGTGAATTAAAATTTTGGAAATCAGCAAAACGTTATTTACAAAATCACTGTGATTATACATGGGAAGGTTTAAAAAAAGTGCTTAAAGTTGCAGGCGATATTAAACAATTTGCCTATCCCCTATTTCGGAACTGAAAATTGTTTAATTTCATCACTGCAAAATTCAGATGAAATAAAATTATTCATAAATTTTATTTTAAAAATGAAATAATATTAAATATCTTTATTATTATTATGAGAATATTTATTTTTAACATTGAAAGATCAATATTTATTAATAATCCATCACAAAAGAATCAATTGTAGTATTGGAATTCCACACCAAATTCTCTAGCAACTTTTCTTTATCAGATCTATTATCCATAACTAAAGCTCCCCATGATCCTTAGGAGAGCTCATGAGTTCATCGAGCCTGGCCAAGCCTCAAGCTACTTTTGGTTAGCCATCTTTCACTCACAAATTTATAATTGATAATTTGGCTTATTTTATTTCCACATATCACAACAATTTTTTGGTCCAGATTCAAGATAATAACAATAATAATAATAATAACGAAATCATCACTACCAAATAAAAATATTATTTCGTGGGATATGTAAATTAATAATAAATCGGTGTACATTTTTGGATTCTTTTAAAATGACGGGAGTCAAACTTCTTTCTAAAAATATGTTTAGAATATTCAAAAATTATGAAAATTGTAATGATATAATTAGTCTAATTCTCAAGTAAAGGTGCCCCGAAAGTATTTAAGAAATTAGTAAGTTTTATTTTTTGATGATAGGAACTCGAATTCATAAATTGATATTTCCATTAATGAATCATTAATATAGATTTGGAATTGGACTTATATTCTCAAATGCAATTATTGACAAAGCTTATTAGTGTTCAGAAACGTATAGAAAATCAATTAATTCTTAACATTAGCAATATTCAACTTCCTAATTCAATATTTTGAGCTATCATTAGTCAAAAAGAAACATTAAAGAGTCTTCGTTTAAACGTCTAAATTTTCATGGTTTTAGAGAGAAATCATCACCAATTGGATAATTTATATCACTTTAAGAACTTTATATTGAAGATTGTCATGGGTTTAATTCAGATTGTTTAAATAATTAAGTAGTTTTCATTATTTTCATTCGAGTCATCCATATCATAAGTATTCTCAAGAATTTATTGTAAAAATTTTTGAAAAGGCCAATACAAATTTAAAAATTATTTGTCTTGATTTATATTCCATAATTATATTTGATACATTTCAAGCAATTTAAACTATTTTACAAAGCTTACCAAATTAACTTTACTAAATTTACGTCCTGAACAAGTAATAGTAATATTTGATAATAATTTTAATGAATTAAGAAGATTTTCATTTGATAATAGAAATAAAATATTTGATGATAATAAAATATTATGCAAAATGGCCGAAAATGTACCTGAATCACTTGAAACAATTGAAATGATAATGGGAATAATTAGTTTGATAGTTTAAGAAGGGTGGTGTCATAAAAAGGAGGAAATAAAAAGATTATTGTAAGACGTACAGAACAAGCGTGACTATTTACATTAAGTGATGACCATTTAAAGTTATTGAAGAATATAGAGTGGAATTCAATTCGATACAGAAGAATCATATTCCAAATACAAATAGTATTTCAAATAATATTTTAAAATATAAATATCAAATCAGAAATATATTTAGTTATAGTTTTGAGTTATGTGTTTCATTTCACCATTTTTTATTTGTTACGTTGAATATAAGAATATTTAAAAATATAAATATTATGTATTAAAAATCATTGGTAAAAATTTATGCAAAAATATATATTGTTTGATAGTTTTAAATTTAAAAATTAAAATCAACATTAAATTTAAAATAATAGAGTATTGATGTCAACATAATAGTTAAGTAATATATCTATTTATATTTGGATGACAATATAATAGATCAGAGAGATCTAAGTCTTTCAAATCATATAATCATGACATAGGAGAATGTTATCCCAATTGCAGAATAACAGGCAGTCAGTATCAATCGATAAATATACAGTATATCCAGTATATACCAATTGGATGAAAGCATCTCGCACCATGAATAATTTATTAAATAACAGTATACATTTACTATGTGGAAATAAAGAAAATAAAGAGGAGATTTCATTAATAATATTTAATTATATTCATGTCTATGGTGGTTCAATGATTACTTAGAATCTAATTTAGCTTCACCTGTATTCTATTCTCTAACATGTTTTAAATGAATCATATCATGTGTTTATCCCTTCACAAAAATAAAATTTTTTAAGGGATATTTAAAAAAAAGTTCACTATTAATTTACAACCTGTTGTTTCACAATGACCTCCTCAGTTTCACCATGACTTCTAATGTATTTTATAATAATAATACTTACTGAATGGTATTATTATTGTTATTATTATTTAATTTATCAGATTTTCTAAAAACACTATAATAAGTTCATGTTATTATATTATGTATTGTGCATAGTATTATTAGTTAATTATTAATTGATTGTTTAAAAATAAAATAACAATTAAATTGAAAAATTATAAAAATGTCTAAGAATCAACTTGAACAAATTTTTTTGTAGTAATAAAAATTTAAAGAATTAAAGATAGTTGTCATTAATACAATAAATAAATTCCATGCTCATAATACTCGTGATATTCACAATATATTCTTCAAAGATATATTTGAGTTAAAAATCATTGCAATAAAAATTTCTATAATAATAATTAATTTTCGAATATTCAAATTCAAAAGATTCAAAAAAATTTTGACATTATCAATTCACTTCTTATAATGATTTCAATCTTAAATTATTTTTTACCATGATAATTTCTAGTTTTGTTATATCCATATTTGAAATAAAAAGAAAGGTCATAAAATAAAAGTACAAAGTTGAAAAATACAAACCAATTACAAAGAATCATCACAACTTCCATCACTTCTTTTATCAAAAATTTCACTACTACAAAAAAGAACCTTGGAGAAATAATAAAAGTACAAAGTTAAAAAATACAAACCAATCTTTACCCTTGTTACAAAGAATTATCACAACTTCTGTCACTTCTTTTATTAGAAATTTTACCACCACAAAAAAGAATCTTGGAGAAATAATAAAATAACAATAAATAAACACACTATTCTATTTCATACTTCATAAACACAAATATTTTTCATTAAATATATTTTTATTTTAATAACTATTTTAATAGATCAATAATATATTTTTTAATAAAAATAAAAATAAAAATAAAAAATAAAAGATAAAAAATAAAAATAAAATAAAAAATAAAAATAAAAAATAAAAATCAAATAAAAAATAAAAAAATAAAAAAAATAAAAAATATAAAATATTATAAAGATATTAAAGTATAGATTATTAAATTAATTAGTTCACTAACTTAAATAAAAAAATTATTACTTAAATTTATTTTTAAATTTAAAATCTACATTCAATAATAATTTCCTTTTATCCAATAATTGATCATTTTATTAAAAACTTTTTAAATCAAATAAATTAATTAATTAATAATATAATAAAAATGGATGAAAAGTCTGTCTTCAGTTTTTATAATAAAAAAAGTAATGTTTGTATTAAAATTCTTGTCAATCTTGACTAAAGAATTACAAATAAAAAAATTGTTTGCATAAAAAGCTACAAACCTTTCTTATATATATGTATATTATCTTTTTATAAATAAATAAAAAATTAAATATAAATAGAAACTAAAAAAAAAATATCTATAAATATATGTATATTTCTTTTTTTAGTTTTTTAGTTTTATAAATAAAAAATATATTTTTTTAAAAAATTGAAATATCACTATTTTTTAATACTAAAAAAGGATTATTGAAATTGATATTTTTTTAAAAAAAAATAAAATAATGTGAAATTATAAAAATTATTTTTAGAAAAAATTCATTTTTTCAAAATTGATATTTTTAATAAAAAAAAAATCATATGAAATTTTATTACCTAAAAAACAGATAAACAAATAAATAAAATTATTTAAGAGTTATTATTTTTAAAATAGTAAAATAGATTTTTGTTTTATAAAAAAAAATTAAAATTCATTTTTTTCTATTTTTGAAATTAATATTTTAGAAAAAAATAAAATTAATTATTAAAAAAAAACAGGTATTATTTCTAAAAAATAATATGGTAAAACAGATTTCATTTTAGAAATTATTATTCATTTTTCTTTAAATTTTTAAAAAAATAGATAATAATTTTTTTAAACTGTTATTTATTGCTAAAAAAAAAAATCATGTGAAATTATATCTTGAGACCTGAGATTTATTGATTATTTTAAAGAATTATTTATTTTTTAAAAAAAAATTAAAGTATTATTGTTTGTATTTTAAATTATTTTTTTTTCTAAAAATAGTGTTGACCGTGATCTGACCTTCAAGAGATATGATTAATTATTGGCTAAAGATACTGTAGCTAAACTAAAATATAATAAACTACTAACTAATATATACTAAAAAGTATGATGATTGAAGGATTTAGTATTGCAGATTTGTTCGAAAGAGGCAAGGCTATAAGATTTTTATAAGTGTTTTACTAAACTATTCACAAAGAATATAACTATACTAAACTAAACTAATAATTCTTAACACTAAGTAGAAAATTATAACACTAAAACACTATACCAGGATTACAAAGCAAGGTATAATTAACAAGGATTTTAGTATTCTGCCTAGAAATAATACAAAATTTCACTAAGAAATTACAATAGTATAAGTAATAATTCACAAGAGTATTATTTATAAGGTAAATCACAAAGTATTTTTATTAATAAAAACTGAGAGTTAGCTATCGAACTGAGGACTGAGCAAAGAGAAATTTAGCTTTTTATATACATAATTGAAGTTATAATAGATTATACTGTAGACTACACTAATGCACACACTATTAATTACACTGATGTATACACTATTAACTACACTATCTATTACACTATCGATTATGCTATTGAATACACTATTGATTACACTGTTCATTATACTGTTGATTACACTCAGATCTACAGTCGTAATACCTAATAGTTGTATCAATTTCTAAATAATTTATGCTAATAATTTTCTATAATATATACTAATAAAAATATTAAACTAATAAGATATGGTTATAAGCTAATACATGCTAATAAAATAATAATATAATAAATTAATAATATAATAATAAGATTTAACAACTAGGGTCAACAACAATAAAATAGATTTTTTTTGAAAAAATCATGTAATAAAGTGTACAAATCAATTGTAGTCTTCTAGATAAAAATCAATTACACATAAAAAAACAAATCATTATATATTCTAAAAAAATAAATTTTTTAAATATTTTAATTTTGAACTAAGGTTAATACTAAAAAAAATCATTTTACAATATTTAAAAAAAAAATCGTTAATTAAGTCTATTAAAAAAAACTTTATATTATTCAAAATAAAACTTTTTTTTTAAAAAAAAAAGCCATTTAAATTAACTACTATTTGTTTAATTATTTCAATTGCTAACACTAAAGAAACAAACAACTTCGCAGTTATTGAAGCTAATGCTATTACAAGAGTGGAAAAAACAATAATAATGTAAATAGTACTTTTAATTTCTATTTAACTGCATTTTATAATAAAAATCTATCAATACCTTTATTTGTTGATAGGGTAACAGAAGATATAATTTATGAAATATTTGAGAAAGTTAATTTAATTGAATTTTCAAAAAAAAATGAAATAAAAGTAAGTTTTTTATATTTTTCTGTATTAATTTTAGTCATTATAATAATAAATTTATAATAATATAATAAAATTATAGATAATTGTTGTCTCAGCAAAAAAAAACAAAATTTCAATTCAAAATTTACATATAAGTGCATTAAACATTTATCTGACTAGTATAATATCAAAAATTAAAAAAACAGATGAAATTTGTCATATTGAAATAAAAGTCAAAGAGTGGATAAAAGGTGCAGAGGATAAAGAATACCAAATAAATTGTAGGTTTTTAAATATTGATCAAAGGTTGTATAATAAAACAAATAATTTGAATAAAAATTCACATTTACTTATTTGTGGTGAATTAAATATTGATCCTGATAGTCAGATTATTGTTGATATTTTGGATATTAATTACTTACCAAGTTATCAACAAAAAACACCTATAAAATCAACAACACAATTATCAACAACCTATAACTGGAATAATTCAGAAGAAAATTATAGAAAATCAATTTTAAAAATAATTGATGAAAATAATGAAGAAAATTTAGTATTAGGTAGTAATAATAATGAAGATAATAGTACTGAAAATACCACTGTTGAAATCAAAGGAAATAATAATGATAATGGTGATGATTTTATTATTGCCACTAAAAGTGAACCAAATAATAATAATAAAAGGAAAAGTAACAATAAAGCACCTAATACAAAAAAAAAGAATTATTACACGTTCAAAAAAAATTAAT